GGGCATTTTGCCTTCCTCTGCATTGGGGGTATGGCCTGTGCCTGGGCAGTGCCAGCTGGCACCTGGCAGTCCCCTGCCCCCGTGTTCCAAGGCTCCATTGGGGCTTGCTGCACTTAGTTTTAGGGTGGGAAGGCTTCCCACCTTTCTGCTTGGAACTGGAAAGTCCTGTTTTTCCCCCAACCCCAACAAAATCATGCAGCTTCCTTGCCTTTTTCCATGGAAAATGCTTGATTTCACTTTTTCCATGAAAAAAATGCAATCGTGAATTGAGTTCGGTCCCTATGTACAGGGACTCGTGTTTTGATGCATCTCAAATTTTACTTCAGCCTCCGGACATCGCATTCAAGTCTAGAAAAGATGCCAAGGAGGGCAAGAGTCACCCCTAAAGAACGTGTCGCTCAGTTTGGCAAGGATAAATTTCACACTGACGGTTCTGTGCTATTCTGCACTGCATGCAGCAAGGCTGTAGATCACGTTCGAAAGCAGACGATTGTAGAACACGTCGAAAGCGCTAAGCATAAACAGAATGAAAAGAGACAAAGAGAAGATGCTGAAACTGCAGGGCCATCGGCAACATTAAAGAAACAATGCATTGTGACTGCACCATTCCAGAGTTCTACAGTTGCCAAAGACCACTGTGACACTGTCACTTTAGATTTTTTTCGAATGTGTTTAAAAGCAGACTTTCCTCTGCATAAAATGGATTTACCTGTTGTCAGGGATTTTTTAAGCAAGCACATTAAGGGAGGCAGTGCTATTCCCAAGTCCGACGAGTTTTATTCTCACCTACCAGCTCTTTTTGAAGAGGAAAAACAGCGCCTTCTTAATGACTTTGAGGGAAACTTCATTGCCGTGATCGCCGATGAAACAGCCGACTTCCAAAATAGACCAGTTTTCAACATTTTATTTCAGGTGCTCAAGGTACGTCCTCCTAAGCATGCTGACATTCCTGCACCACAGCTGGTAAAGACAGTGTGCCTGGGGAAAGTTAATCATGCCACCATTTCACAAGCCTTGATTTCTTGTATGGTGGAATTCAGCATCCCACTTGAGCGAATATTAACATTTGTAACAGACAGCACAAGCTACATGGTGAAGGCTTGGAATGATGTGCTTCGCAATCTGTGGTTGAACTGTGTACACATTTGTTGCTATGCACATATAGTAGCTCTGGCAGGAAATACTTGGCGAGATGCCTTCAAGCAAGTGGATCACTTAGTGGCTCTGATGAAGTCACTTTTAGTGAACGCTCCAGGTTGTCGTGCACGGTTCTTGAGATACCTGAAGGAACAGAGTGTTGATTCACCAACACTTCCACCCAAGCCAGTTGTGACCAGGTGGAATACATGGTTCAATTGTGTAAAGTACCATGCACAACACTATCAGCTCTACCATGGGTTTGTGGAGTATGAACGAACAGAACAAGGGGATACATCTGTTCTGCAAGAACTAGCCAGCCTGTTAGCGGTAGAAGACTTGCACGCTGACCTGAAGTATATTGCAGAAAACTGTGGACGCCTGGTGACAGCACTGAACATTTTAGAGTCCCAAAAACGTCAAATACACAAGGTGTACAACACTGTCCTGGATTTAATTTCATGGTTAGAGCATCTTGCATCATCTACTGATAATGCAAAAGGGTCCACAGCAGCTCAAAGCACTGCTGATAAACTAAGGCAGTACAACGTAAAAAGTAAACAGCCAGCAATTGATTTTCTCCGTGCTGTTCGTGCACTGGATCCTAAACAAATTGGCGCTGTTTATACAGATTATGAAACTGTGAAACCGGAATTAAAGCTGTCCAGTGAATGCAATATGGAATGGCCAGTGTATTTAGGTCTTGTCAAAGATGGGTTTGTAGATGTTGACGATCCCATTCAGTTCTGGATGGCTGTTGAAGATCACGTTCCCAACCTGGCAAAATACGCGGTGGTTCTCCTCCAACTGACTGTAAATTCAGTTGGTGTAGAACGAAGTTTCAGCAAACTTGGGATTCTTTTCAGTGCTCAACACCCGTCTCTGAAAGAGGAAAATGTGGCTGGAATACTGCAACTCTATTTTAACAACCCAGACTAACTCAAAGCGATTAAATTTTCTGTGCATTTTTAAAAACAAGCAGCTAGAACTTGGGGCAGAGCCCTGGACTAGCCTGAGGACTTTCTGTTTATTTAAGAGGGAGAATACCTTGCAGGTATTAATTCTGTACTTGAAAGGCCCAGCCAGCGAGTTTCTTCTGCAGAGTCTTTGATTCTGCTCCAGGGTCCAGTGACTGGCAGAGATCAACAGCCATCAGGTAGGAGCAAGGACCAACGTACCCCAGCAGCTCACCAAGGGGCAGGACTGCCCCCCAGGAGCAGCTTGAATCACAGCAAGGGCTGGTGCACACCAGCAATTAGTTGAGAAGCAGGGACCACCCCCCCAGGAGCAACTTGCAGCCCAGTGAATCCCAACAGCACACCTCAGCAGCTCACTGAGGAGCTGTGCCCCTGGAGTAGCTTACAGGGCTCACTGGTGGCCCCTCTATCCAGCTAGTTAGGGTGAGGCAGGTATAGAGTGGTAGGGCCCAGGACTCCCTGCACTTGGGTCGACCTCCTAAGTCCAGAGTGCTTGGGTTTGGTAGAAGCTCACAGAGGGGTGGGGTGTGGCAGGGCACTCCTGGCACCTGCCACTTCAGAAGTAAATCAGGCTTCAGGAGCTACTCTATGGGGAAGCTGCTGGCAGTCAGGCCAGTCACATGACAGTTCAGGAGTGGGGCTAGCAGTCTAACTCCCAGCCAGAAGACAGAGCAGATGGTCTGCTGCTGGCCAGGTAACATCTTTTGGAATGTGGACAGGACTGTAGGGGAGGTGGAGGTCCCAATAGACCCAGGGAGAAGGTCCAGGAGTCCCTGGAATGATTGAGTGGCCCCAGGAAGGCTGAGGAGAGTGGAAAACCCAGGTGGGGCTGGACTATAGAACTTAAGCCTTAAAGTTTAAAAGTGCTTTAAGCTGTACTTTGTGTTTCTTTTCTATTTGTCCTATAATAAACCTTGCTTTTGTTGGTATGTTGCTTGCAAGGGAGAAGTCTGTTCACTTAGGACAAGCCAATTTAAATCTAGTTATCCCAGGTTTCTGGGTGGGGCCTCAAGCCAAAACTAAACTTATTTTGCACCCTTCCCTCTTCCTCCCCCAACTTGAATCTGACTCTTATTGCTGCCAACAGGCACAGGGAGCAGAACAGCAGAGGCCAGCACTGCTCAGAGCCACAAAGCTGCAAGGGGGATGGCTGCGGCTGGACCTGTGTCCTGGTGCAGGGTGGAGACCTGCTGCAGGGAAGGAGCAAGTGGGGGACAGGCAGGGGCTGTGGATCAGGAGTCAGGGGCACTGGTAGGATTGGAGGGGCTGTGGCTTGAGAGTGAAGGGCAACAGCATGGGCAGGGCACTGGCATGTCGGAGCTGCTCAGTACCATAAAGCAGCAGGGGGAACAGCCACAGTTGGACCTGTGTCCTGGTGCATGGGGGAGCTGCTGCCGGGAGGGAGCGAGGTGGGGGGTGGGCAGGGGCTGTGGGTCAGGAGTGAGGGGCACCAGCAGGGCTGGGAGGGGTTGTGTCTTGGGAATGAGAGGCAGTGGCATATCAGAGCTACTTGGTGTCAGAAAGCAGCAGGGGGGACAGCCACAGCTGGACCTGCATCCTGGTAACTGAAGGGGACAGGCAGAGCTCAAATTTCCATGATAAACTCAAATCAAATGCCAAAATATATAGGTATTTAAAATATTTTACTGTAATGATTGAGGCACTGGTAAGCTTTCAAATTGCTTTAAAATTGTAAATATATCAATAAAACATTGTGTTCAACTGATAGACGCACATACCCCCCACAGTGGCATTTCATTTTAATCACAGAAAAACACAGATTTGGGGAGTTTTATCAGAGAATTTAGGATTTTTTTAACAGAAAAAGCCAGGTTCCCTGCTGATGAAATTATTCGGTTTATAATGGGTTTTTGTTGACATAATTCTGTTCCAGCCATTTCCCTTATAAAGCAGCTCCACTCCTGTCCTCCTCTTCCACTAAAAGTTAAGGCTACTGGAGTGAGTTTTTAACAATTTGAAAAAGACAGTAAAAAGAAGTCCTAAGTTTGTTGTGTATGGAGACTTAATAACTTTTTAAGGAGTAAAAAATGGTCATGTACTTAAAATCAAGGAATCCAGGATTTCTGTACTTAATATTGAGAAGAAATTGTGGATTAGCAACATTTTAGTTTACTTGCTGTATGCCATGATATTGCTAATCTTCCTTAAAATTCTCATAGAATCATAGAAAGTTAGGGTTGAAAGGGACCTCAGGAGGTCATCTAGTCCAACTCCCAATGTGTTGGATCTTCCCACAGAAATGGGATTAAAGCTGCTATGGAAGGAAGAGTTTACAGATTTTTTTTTAAAACAACTTCAAAACTTTCCAAATTATACCTTCAAAACTATCCAGATACTTAAGTTTTTCAATTATGCAGCTGCTTTTAACAGTGTCACCATTCATCAATGTATCTTTTATTGGTCAGAATTTAACAAATTTCTATAACGATTTCTGAGTTGAATTCTCTTTTCCCTTGCACATTACATCAGAGGACTGCAGCCCACAGAGCCACTGAATCCAGACTGCAGAACTTTATCTGTGCCTGTACCACACGAGGCATTAAAAAGCTGTGCCAGGTCCAGGTAGCTGAAAGTTGCACCTGCATGGCTGCCACTTCTCCCTGTCCCTTCTTCCCCAGCTGCATCTGCATCACAGCCAGGAGGCCAAGGGGATAGGATGGGAAGAAGTGGCAAAACAGATGCAGCTTCCCACTGGTGGAAAGCTCTGTTGGGGATAGAAACTGCATCTGTGGAAATATAGGGAAGAGAGAAGTGGCAGTGCAGGCATAGCTCCCAGCTACCTGACTATTGAAGGTGCAGGCAAAGGTCCCCCTGGCCCATATCGGACTGGAGTCTTACTGTTCTGGTCTGTGGCTCGTAAAGGCTGTTGGCTGCTGCTTTACACTATTTGGCCATCACAATAAATCTGAACTCCTCTTATCCACCTTGATAATGGAGATAATAAGTCTAAATATATTGATGTTACAGTTTTGCATAAAGCATTCTAAAATGCATCCGAGTAAGCGCCCTCTCTACATGTGCATGTGAAGGCACAATGGGATCTAATTCTTGATCCACACAATGGTACCTGCTGCCACTTACTTAGCATATTTGGTTTTGGCACGTTTGTTTCAGCCATCTTAAGGCAATGTCATCACCAATGTGAGGAGCCTGAAGGCCACCAGGTAGCATTGTAAGTCAACAAAGTGGGACATGTTTTGAACTTGTCCGCAAGGGCATTTGTCATTGTGGAGGACCCATTGGTATAGGTTTGAGGCACAGTGACCCTGTCCAATTCAAAAATGCTTGAGAAGTGCTCAATAACAGGGTGGCCACTTAAATCCTGGCTGACTGATGGTAGGGTCAGAGATAATGCAGTTGATTGACTGTTGCTTGTGCTGACCATTCTTCATGCCATTAAATCAGGAAAAGTCAAAGGGTGGACCATATTGGGTTTCTTGAGGGAAGCCAAGCTATTTGTGGGTAGAATATGTCTCAGTGCACTGGCAGCGTAGGATTATTCCTGAGTCCAGCTAGTAAATTTACTTCAGCATTTGTGCGGTGGAGATGAGGGGAAACAACGTTACTGAGGACTGATAACCATGGGAGTGGAGTGGGGCACAGTGTGCCTGACACAAGATGCATTGTAGCATGCAGTTGGGTGTCCACTAGTTGTGCGATGAACAAGCCTACACAGGGGACAGTATTCTGCAACTGAAAACACAGAGTAAATGAATGTAGCATGGAGGGATTGGCACCCCAAGTGGAGCCTACAAGTTTGGCAAGTAGGTTATTCCTTGTTTTAATTTTCAAAGCAGTTTTCTGGAGATGTGATTTATAAGTTAAAGTCTGGTCAAGGGTGAAACAAAGATAAATTGGATGTGTTTTGAATTTGAGAGGCTGACTGTTAAAAGTGATAGTGATGTCAAGATTAGCATTGGCACTAAGCAGATGAGAAACACTGGATTCAGTCTTTGAGATATTCAGTTTGAGGCGCCATTTTAGGCAGTACTCTGACATCAGTCTCGTGTCTCCATCAAGTGTGACTTCCACACTTAAAGTCACAAGCTTGAGTGGCAAAGGGGCTCTCAGCATAAACAATTTTTTTGTGAGCTAGTCACAGGCAGATCATTAATGTACAGGTTGAAAAGGAGAGGTGCCAGTACTGATCCCTAAGAGAAGCCATTGGTGCGTCTCCAAGAGCTAGTTTGCTTGGCCAGGTAGACTCTGAAGTGTCAACCATGTTGTAATAATTTGACTAGGTGAGTGACCCAGTCTGGCAGAGTTTCTGATATTTTTGCCAAAAGACTGGTATGCACATGTGCATGGCAGGAGCTGTGATTGTGGGCATCAGATCCCATCATGCCTTATTACCAGTGCAGGAGGAGCCCAATTTGACTGCTGCAGCCTCTCAGTCCCAGGGGTTTCCCAGACCCTTGGGACTGGAGATTGCAGCCACACCTCGTGGCTGTCAGGACCCAGCTGGGTCCTGGCACTTAGAAGTATGCTGCTGGAATCCAGTATCCACACATGCAAGACTCAAGGTCTGCATGCTCCTAGGAACCAGAATTGGCAGCTGCTGGGGCTGAGTCCCCTCAGTTTCTAGTCCCAGCTGGGCATTGCATATCTCTGCAGATGAGAGCCCTCTCACCTGATGGGGAGACCCAGCTGCAGGTGCAAATTTAAGTTGGATAGCAATCGGCTCTAAAGTTTGTACACACTTTCACATCTAATTTCATAGCTGGTTGGAGCTTTTTATGGTATGTTTAGGTACTTTGCACATGGAGCTGGTCTCAAAGTAATTGAGCAATTAACTAGTTCATTTTATGTACCTGTAATGTAAGGCGGGGTGGGCTAAGATGCAGGAAACCTTGAATTAAGTATTCATGTGAAACATTTTGGAAACTTTAAGAAGTATTACAGTCTTTTAAATCATGCAGTACACCATGAGTTTATTCTTGAACAACTAACACAGATGTAAGTCTAACTACTGCCTGTTTCTGTAAACTAGTCAAATAAATGGTTATATTTAAAGATTTTTTTTTCTTGTTTGTCGTACACTTTTTCTCCCTGCTTCCCTGTTTCTGTGGTTATTAGCACTTACATTCTTTTATATGGATTCAACTCTCTTCTCAATCATTATGATCTCCAGTATGGTAGGAAGGGCAGTAGATCCATGTGTAAATTTTCCAACTCTATGTAGTACAGTAACTATATATATATATATATAGGTACAAATACTTAGTTTTCAGAAATAAGAACATCCTCTGAAAGAGAATAAAAGTTCTCTTTTTATCTCCCTTTTACAGTGAGATCTCCAAAAGCAACTTGAGAAAAGTGAAGAAACCATTATCGCCTAAAATCCTGGGTAGATTATTATGAATATCTGTGTTCCAGAACTCATAAAGGTAGCAGCTTTGGGACTGTGAATGTGTTCAGCTTGGAATATAAATTTTTCAAACTTCCGAACAGCAATAACTCAGTTGAGTGTTTCACAAAATTTCAGTCTTTCAGAACTTAAAGGCAGGCAGGCAATTCAAGGAGTCCATTTTTCAGAGCTTTTGTTTCTAGACTTGTGTGTGCTATGCAGCATTTTGGGGAAATGACCTAGTTTTGTTTCTGAAATAATTGAAATGACTGTAAATTTATTTTTTTAATGGAAAAAATTGCTTCCAAAAATGTAGGTTCTGTGTTAAAACAGTTTGGAACAAAAAAACCAAGATGTGATCTTAGTAGAATGTACATAATTAAAAAATGCACTTTTAATTCTGAAGCTGCACTGTCACTAAATACATTTGTGAAATGTAAGGATGGAGAACTGTGGCATTGAAAGTCTTGTACTTGAGACTAAAACTTGTGAACATCATGAAAATGTGAAGCTATGCCTTATACTGTGTAGATGCTGTTTGCATTATTTGCATCTAGCTCTGCATGTAACTGGTTTGAACATTGAAGTTGAAGTGGCTTTCATGTACATATCTGTATCATATTTAGATCATCATTGTTGTAGATTTATTGACTAGATGAATCGCACTTCTGCCTTTTTGTACAGCAAAACCTGAAATAAACCTGTAAATAGTGAAGTGGTCAGTCTAATTGTAATTTCTTAGCTTTGTCTTCAAATAAATGCCAAGTCAGTTGGCAAGGTGTAATTTTTACCTGATATAAACACTATATAGGAAATGCTTTCAGTGCATAGGCATACTAACTTCTACTTTGTCATGCCAATAGCATGGCACTATCAAGTTGACTATACCCAGTGATGATTGCTTAAAGTTGCTGCATGTGTCTAGAACTTAACTAGTTTCATAGTTTCATAGATTTAGGGTCGGAAGGGACCTAGTAGATCTTCTAGCCTGACCCCCTGCCAGGGCGGGAGAACAACAAAACCCCACAACAAGAAACGGGACTCAAATGAGTCCAGCCAGGTAGGCATCCAGCCTCTTCTTAAAGACCCCCAGGGTAGGGGCCAGCACCACTTCCCTTGGAAGTTGGTTCCAGCTCCTAGCCGCCCTAACTGTGAAGTAGTTTTTGCGGATGTCCAATCTATACCTCCTCTCCATCAACTTGTGCCCATTACTCCTTGTTATGCCAGCGGGCGCTAGGGGAAACAGCGTCTCCCCCAAACCCTTCTGGTCCCCCCTAGTGAGTTTATAGATGGTCACCAGGTCCCCCCTCAGCCTTCTCTTGTGGAGGCTGAATAGGTTCAGGTCCCGCAGTCTCTCACTGTAGGGTCTGCCCTGTTGTCCCCGGATCATGCGGGTGGCCCTCCTCTGGACCCTCTCCATGTTGTCCACATCCCTCTTGAAATGGGGCGCACAGAACTGGACACAATACTCCAGCTGTGGCCTGACCAGCGTCGCATAGAGGGGGAGGATCACCTCCTTGGCTCTACTCGAGATGCACCTGTGGATGCACGACAAGGTCCGGTTAGCCCTGCCAACCATGACCTCGCATTGTCGGCCCATGTTCATCTTGGAGTCAATAATGACTCCAAGATCTCTTTCTGCCTCCGTGCTCTCGAGTAGGGAGTTCCCCATTGTGTAAGTGTGCTGCTGGTTCCTACTGCCCAAGTGCAGCACCCTGCACTTGTCCGTATTAAAACGCATCCTGTTCCTGTTAGCCCACCCCTGTAACCTATCCAGATCCCTCTGCAATCTCTCACTCCCTGCTAGCGTGCTCACCTCCCCCCAAATTTTGGTGTCATCAGCGAATTTAAACAGGTTACTTTCCACCCCATCATCCAGATCGCTGATGAAGAAATTGAACAGCGCAGGCCCCAGGACCGAGCCCTGGGGGACTCCGCTACCCACCTCCCCCCAGGTCGAGTATGACCCATCCACCACCACCCTCTGAGTGCGACCCCTCAGCCAATCTGCAATCCATCTGACTGTGTAGGCATCTATGCCACAGTCGCCTAGTTTTTTAACTAGGATGGGGTGAGAGACGGTGTCAAAGGCCTTGCTGAAGTCCAGAAAGACTACATCCACCGCGACACCTGCATCCATGGCCTTTGTGACCTGATCGTAAAAGGCAATCAGGTTGGTCTGACATGATCTCCCCCTAATAAATCCATGCTGATTGCCCCTGAGCATCATTTCTGATGCCGGCCCATCACAAATGTGTTCCTTGATGATCTTCTCAAAGAGTTTCCCCAGGATTGAGGTAAGACTGACGGTCCTATAGTTGCCTGGGTCCTCCCTCTTCCCCTTCTTGAAGATGGGGACCACATTTGCTACCTTCCAATCATCTGGCACCTGGCCCAAGCACCCCGCTCGCTCATAGAGCCGTGCCAGGGGCCCTGCAATAACCCCAGCCAGCTCCCTCAACACCCTGGGGTGGAGAGCAACTAAAAGTGCTTCAGCTTAACAGAGCTGCTTTTTTATAATGTCACCAGGCAAAACTTACTAAATTATTTAGAATTGTTTCTTTAGTTTAAAAATGAAAAGCAACAGGAAATAAATATTTAAGGGAAATACGTTGTTCTGAGATTAGTTTCCCAATGAGTTGGCTTAGGTTGCCAACAATAGTAAAACTCCCTTTCATTTTATTATTGTGTAGACAAGGGATTTTCAAAGATGGGGCTGTATCATCTGGCCCACCTGACCAGTGTTTGTAGTATTAATTGCCAAGGTGCTTGGCGCTCCACCAGTTAACACTACCACGGTTCCCCGTCACTAAATTTTAGAGCAGTGGGGAGCCCTGCAAGCTAACTGACAGTGCCTGGAAAACAGATGAGGTGAGCACCACTGGTATAAAATGTGCTTGTATATAAAGACTTGTTTGAAATCATGCATGAGGAACTAGACTTCAACTGTAATCAGAGTTTTTTCCTAAACTAGATGAAGATCAAAAACAGAATTACCATTTTCTAGCTGCTGAAATACTACTGCATAACCAGAGCTGTCTGGCCAAAGCAGAAGCCATGGCCATGGCTTCCACGATGCATATGTTGCTTGCCCCATGAGCTCTGGGACTGTGCTGCATGTGGTGCCTGCTCCAGCCAGCCGGGGACCTGTGCTGCATGTAGCACCCATAAGCGCCATGTGCAGTGAGGGTTCTGGACCCTCTGGTGCTGGATCAGGTGCCATGTGTGGCACAAGGTATCCACTGTATGCAGCACAGCTTCTGCTCTGGCCAGACTGTGCTGCACAAGGCACCCATTCCAACTGCTTTGGGACCCACGCTTCACGCAGCACAGGTCCCACACTGACTACAGTAGCCACCAGATCAGATATACTGGAGAAGGGCGAGGGGATCCAAAGACCTGATCTGGCCTGCAGACTGGTCCCACACTGTGGGCATGGGCTGTAACCCAGGTGGTGTTGATCAGACCTAGGGGCACTATGGGAGATCAGATGACAGGGCTCAACAGGCTGTACACTTGACAGTCCTGGTTTAAATGAAGGTAGAAACAGCTGGATCTATAATCATTTAAACACAACTAAATGAAGATCGAACAACAATGAATGGAAAACATTTTCTTAACACCAAGCCTTGAAACTTCAAGCCTTACTCTAATGTCATGTCATTCCTGCAGAAGTTTTCTTTCCTATACTGCTGTGATCTACAGTAGAAGCCATGCAGGGATGGGAAGGGGGACCTACAAGTGCACTTAACATAATTACAACAGGGATGGTGAGGGGAAGGCCATCGTAAAAGGTCAGGAGTCAAATATTAAATGAGACAAGATAGCTTATATTATCTTGAGGCTGGAAAATTGTCTTGTGGGGTAGAGGAACAAATAGGTAGACACCAGATTAAATTAAGGTGCAAGGTTTTAGGAGAATTCCAACAGAATAAGACATCTCCCTCCAGGTGGCAGCCTTGTCTGCTTTGGTGAGACATAAGCAACGCTTATTAGAAGAACAAGGAAATCCAAAACTTGTGCATTAGGATGAGCTCTTGTTAACATGACTTCACAGTACTGTTCAGTGTGAAATAAGGAACAAGCAGCAGTTTAGTGAAGCAGATGAGTGCCCAGGACACTGGGACAGCAATGATTTCCAGTTGCTGCTGCGCCACCTGTATAATCACAATAGTGTGGTTGCCAGCACCAGTTGGGGTTTTTTTTGTCCCCCTCCCCACTACCAACCTGGCACATGGGATGGTTTGCCTGTCCTGGTCATGCTACTAAAAGCAGCATCACCATCTTAGAAATACTTCAATATAAGTTTGACAACCCCTCTGTACATTTTTTATTACTTATTTATTTACTTTTCTTACTACTTGTATTGCTTTTTTATCTACAGTGTGAGAGAAAACACAATTAAGAAATAGTGTAAAGCTATGAAATTATCAGGGGAATATGGGAAGGTGGTTTTCCAAGGATAAATGTCCTTTGTACTCTGGGCAGGCTGACCCCTGCGAGTTTCCCCAAATGTGGGACTGCACAATTTTGTGGCAATTGGCCCTTTGGCTAAGAGCAAGCAAGACTCAGGGGCATCTGAACTCCAAGGCCTCTGGGCCAGAGATGGACATTACACATAAATTGGTTTAAGTGATCAAAAACTGGTTTAAAATTGTAACAGAACAGAAGTTCAGTGCATATAAGCTGCTTTCAAAATGGCCGAAACTGCTTTAAGATAAGCCTGGTTGAATGTAGTATCAGATTTGATTGATTTAGGTCAAACCGGTTTATGAAGCTTCTGTCCTAGACCCCTTCCTGGTTCAAGTGAAATCAGAGTTCCCCAGCATGCTTTTCAGCCCTGGGCTGGCCTGGACTATGGTGTTTGCTCCAGAGAGCAGGGCTAACCCTGCCCTTCTGCTCCCTAGCTGGGGCAGTGAGGGCTGGCTCACTGGCGCCTCCAGGCAAGCCCCAGCTGGGGCCAAGGAGGAGGGTTAAACTCACCTTCCCCTGAGTACAGAGCTGCTCTGACCTGCTAAAACTTAGTGCTGGCTGTGACTGTAGACTACAAATCCCAGAAGCACCTGAAAGCAGGAAGATAAAGCGACACACAACCCTGAGAGTCCTGCTACTGTGATTGTGGACTGCAAATCCCAGAGACCTTGGGGCAACAGGAAGAGTAAGGAAACACACAGCCTAGGCTGCATTCAGAGCTCTTCAGTTTATTGTTTTTCAGAGAGAGAAATATTCTTGTTTAAGCTTTTATTAATTCAATTCCACTACCGAATGACCGAACATCTCTAATTGCATTAGGCAGGGATAGACACAGCTAGAATGCATGATTATAAAATATGCTTCTGTAGACTCCAAAATTGAAGCAAAACAGTACTTTTTGCCAGTTGAGACCTTATTTGGCATTAAAACAGGAGAGAAAAGATGCTCAAGGTCTTCAAATGTAAACACAAGTATTGAAATCAATATGATTTGGCATCAAAAGTACTTAAAAAAATGAATATGCTCTGACAGGTGCCTGTACATATACCAATTCCAACACTTTGAAAACATTTTCAATGAGGCTATTACTAAGTTATAAGACAGTTAAGTTCAGCTAGTATAAAAATGGATTTGTTTGGCTAGGACTAATTTTCATTGGTGCAAATAGGTAGATCGCTTAATTTCATCACCAGCCACTGAATTTAGTTAACCTGGTTATAGAAAAGGCCTCAGTTTCTTGTT